GGGGTGGGGGGAGGGAGGGGGGGGAGGTGGTAACAAAGGCCGGCACAGACCCTGCTGCTGCTGCTGCTGCTGCTGCTGCTGATGGTGCAGCATCTGGAGTTGGTGCTGGAACTGCTTGTGCTGGTGCTGAAGCCCCAGTGTGCCTGCCATCTCAGCCACAGTACGGCCCATGTGCTCCTGCCCTTCACCAGGCAACCGCCCACTGCTCCCTCCTGATGCCCCCACACCTGCCTGCCTCTGCTGCTGCTGCTGTTGCTTCCTCTGCTGCTGCTGCTGCTGCTGCTGCAGGAACCAAGAGCCATATGTTGGATTTAGGAGGCTGGTGCTCTTCCCACTGTGGCCCTCTATTTCAGGTGGGTGACCCTGGGTGAATGCTGGGTTAATGTGCCCCCCCTCTGCGCTGTGTGTTGTGATATGTGGTCCCTTGGCTGTAAGTGTGGAGCCGGCGGTGGAGGTGACCATGTTGGTGGTGGTCATGGACATGGCAGTCTGTGTGTGGGGCTGTTGGTGCTGGTGGAGCAGAGGGTGTGGCTGGGCTGCTGTCTGTGCTTTGGCCTCTGATGCTGTGCTCACCACAACAGGGCGGTCCCTAAGTTGTTGTTTGTCCTCCGTAGGGCAGGAGGGGGGCGGCTGTGGAGCATCGCCATCAGGCATTTGGGTGTTTACCAGTACATTTGGAGCTGAGTCATCAGGGTGCTTTGGTGCGCCCTCTTCCTCCTCGGGCATGGGGCCATACTCAACAGGCAGAGGCGTGGTAACCACATCTGGATCCTAGAAGAGAATCAATCAACAATCTTTCTCTTTATAAATGTATCTTTGGAAATGTATACAGTAATGTATTGTACAAAGTCAAAGGTGTGTTCACACTGATGGACCGGTCTGAAACAGAAACAGAAACATGTGGCTGTGATTACTGAGCCATTTAACCCAATACCTACCTGTAAACAGTAATCAATTCTCTCCAGGATGGTTGAAAAGTTGGGCCGGTCGTCAGGCTGGTGTTGCCAACTCTGAGTCATTATACGGTACCTAGAGATACAGCTCAATGTTACACGCTGTGCTCCAAGAGCAGTTCAGTTGATGACCACAGTTCAAAGACATGTGTGGATACTGTATGTGGTTTTATAAAACTTTGTAAAACCCAGCATCAGTTTCTCATTGTACAACAGAAACTGGCCGTTTCTGTTGTACATGACAATAATGAAAAATCATGAAAATATTGAATAAACTCTACAGTTCAGTGTTGATAAACAAAACATGAGCATCAGCAGAAGAATCTGTAGAAAAAACAGTGACTATTGTGTGACAGGTCTTTCTGACTTGGTCAATGTGAGGCTTAGCACTGGAGTCGTAACAGGTCAAGGTTAGGAGTACAGTCAGGATTAGGGTCAGGGTGTGATGTAAAGGTGCATCCTTCTACCAAATGATGCTGCTACTGTCCTCTCTACGTTTCTTATTAAATGCTGATTTAATGTTGAATTTTGTCCCTTAATGGTAGCAAGTAATGTCAATTGTTATGATACGTTAATAAAAATACATATTAAAGCTGTTAAATGGACTTTGAGTATTTGTCATGTTTGGTTGAGTTAAAACAATCACACAAACATATGAATATCAAATTGGCAAAAGAGTAATGGGTATTATATCAAATCAATCTGGCATCAACCATTACTAATTTGGAGGCTACATGAAATTGTTAAACCTGTTCAGAATGACTTGTCAATGACTTTTCTCATTGTGTACAATGTTATACTAGTGAGTAGAATATTTGAATACCAGCCAACTATTGAAAATGCTGAAATAGAAATCCCAACATTTGACATTTGGTTGATTCTATGAGTCAGTGGGATGGAGTAGTTGTAGCACTGCTCCCCGGGCGCTGACCACGGCTGCCCACTGTTCACTTTGGTGATGGGTTAAATGCAGAGGTTAAATTTCGTTGTGCATGGTGTGCTGTGCTGTGTCACAATGACAAATAAAGATAAGTTTAAGTTTAAGTTTAGTACTAGTACTACACCACACTGAATTCCCGTGACTTTTTCAACTGTTAAAACATCAAAGAGATTCCAAAGGGCTGATTTTGTTGTTTCATTTCCTGTCACCGTGGTCAACACATGTTTACGTGACACTATGATGATGTCCTCAGAGTCTTCCGTGGTTCCGTGTCTGTACATTTGTATCCAACAGCCTTTTATCTAACCACTTTTTTTAGTTGTTCTCATTTGTGTTCTAAACCTAATTAGACCTCCTGGGATCACAGTATCTGTATGTGTTTGCCTGTGTGAATGGTGTGTAGCACACTGGTGTAGATGTACACTCACACTGGCCCAGGGCAGTTCTTAGGGGGGTCCATTCTACCACCATTAGTCACAAACTCCAACACTTCCTGGTTACTGCGGCTTGGATACGGCATGTAGCCCAGTGAGAAGATCTCCCAGAGCAGAACACCAAATGACCTGAAGCAGGGTTGAAGAGGAGTCATGAAATAAAAATGATAAAAGAACTGACATGTCAGTGATCGTCTCACTGTTACAGTTACTCACCACGTGTCTGTTTTAGATGTGAAGATTCCCTCCATGAAGGCTTCAGGTGGCATCCATTTCACCGGCAGCATGGCACGGCCGCCTTTCCTATAATAGCTGGCCCTACAAACACACAAGTACAAAATAATAATGAATAGAAATTTAAAAATGACATTGTACCTTCCCAGTATGATGTGTGGTCAGCTGGCTGTAAAAAAGAAAACAACTTCATCTGCATCGCACAAGTTGAACATACGGGCTCAGGTGTTGGATTGGACGGGCTATGGTTGTTTTTTTTCTGATGTTCAATACTGATATTTTGACCAGTATTAGACTGATACTGATCCCCCTCCTGGAAACTACTGTATATCTCTGGCATCATATGAGACTTTACTATTTTCAGCTTAGAAACCCTAGACCGGATATGGTCAAACTATGGCTCGTGGTCCGGGTATGATCCTCTTTTTCCTTGTCCTGTTTGTATGATGAAGCCCCACAAGAATTTTCCTGATGTACACTCCTGAAAACATCCAAAATAAAAAAACCTGATTTCATTTTCTATCATTTCATTGCTATTTTTTCTGCGTCAAAAATAATTACATAGGAAACTGGACACGACTGTTCGGATTGTCATGTTTTTAGACCCTCTCGTTTAAGAGGAACAAATTCAAAGCCTCATCTGATTGGGCTTTTGTGAGTTGTATTTTCTCCAGTGAGATGTAATTTTACGCTCTTCTGTTGGTTGTATTTTATTTTGTTGTGTTCATTCACCACACCCCCACAATCAGTCAGACATGGAAAAAAAGGAACCTCAGCTGTACTGTGTTGTTTCTGATTCAGAACCTTCAGTTAAAAATGAGTGGTGCAAAGAAAATCAAAGTTCACAGAGATCGCAGAGTGAGTAGGAGTGAGCACATAAATATTTTTCTAATTTGAACACAGGCTGCAGCTCTTACTGCCACTCAGCAGCAAATAAAAGGGCGACTGTCTTAAACAGGATGTGTTCTATGCAGTACTATGAAAAAACCAAATCTCCAAACAAACGACATGTGAAAGTGAAAAAGACTTCACTCCATGGAACGCATGCCCAATTCTGAAGAACTGGAAAAAACATGGATGTCTTTGAATTTTAGGTTTGATCTAGTCTACTTTTTATTTATGTTATTTGACACCAATATTCTTCATTTTTCTGATACTGACCTGCAAAACAGCTACATTTATATTATCTTTCTAGGCCATTAGCCAAAAAGTCTGGAGCAGGGGTCAGAAACCTGCGGCTCCAGAGCCGCATGTGGCTCTTTCATCCCTCTGCTGCTGCTCCCTGTAGTTTTGGAAAAAATTATTGAACTCCTGATTTAAATGTATTTTTTACTTTGTTATGTCATTTACTGTAATTCTAAATTTGAAGATTATGTTGCTCTTGTAACATTAAAATAAGGTTCAAGATCAAAAAGTAAAATAAATATGTCATTTTATTGTTTGGTTTTACATATATATTTCATATAAATCAGTGCAGTAGTGCATTTTCATTCAGATTGACAGCAACTGCATGCTCCAGTACACACAATAAAGGATGACAGCACATAGAAGCAGATGGCATTTTTGGTTCACTGCGGGTGAAAAATTTAAGTTCTTCTGTTGTTGTTGTTTTGTTTTGTTTTTTTAATTTAAGTTCACAAAGTTCAAAAATGTATTTTTTGCATGCAGAAATAAAATTAGGTTAGCATTAATTTCATTAATTTAAAAAATCCAACACAATATATATATTTTTTGCAAAGTATTATGGTAAAATACAACATACAGTACGTTGTGATATTTTCATTTTAGATTTTTGTGGCTCCTGGTGTTTTCTTTTCTGTGGGAAATGGGGTCCAAATGACTCTCAAAGTGCTTTAGGTCGTCGACCCCGGTTTAAGGTCATTCAGTCGAAAATAAAATGTATGTGATCTCTGCGCAGGTGATAAAAGTAAGTCATAACCACTGGATACCTAGGTATGTAAGCAGTTAAATTACAGATAAAATAAATATGGTAATTTTCATCTTCATTGTAAAAATAAAAGAAAGAAAAGGTTATATTCAGCATCATCACCATGGCAACAATACTAGCTTTTCTTAAAAAAAAACAGATAAAAAATCTCACATGCAGTCATTAAAACTTTGTTTGTCAGCGTGGGTATCAGCTCTGGGAGTTTGTCACCAGACACTCTTATCTCTCACAGAGGAAAGTAGAGTAGAGTAGTGACTATTTTTCAACGCTGCCTTTTGCATTCCTGTTAGTGGAGAATTTATCTGAGGTGCCTAAGATACAGCGTGAGGACAGACAGGAAGTTGGTACTACTGTACTTGGCCCTGTGTGTACGACAAGTGTCTACAGAGAGCAGAAAACAAACATCTGCTGCTGTATAACTCTACTACATTAAGGGGTAGCCAAAGCTTTGCAATAAAAACAAGTCAAGTAGTTGGTAGAAACAGGTTTTCAGTAAGAAGGTTGTGAGTTTGAATACCTGTACCTTTTTTTTTTAAATGCGGCAGTGCTGATAGTACTTTTGTTTGTAAATTCAAAAGCAAGAGCAGTAAATGAAGCACGGAGTGTTCAGTGCAGCTGCACATGGCTGCACAGGAAGCCACTGTAATTACACTGCGCAGCTCTCAGGTGTAAATGTCATGCAGCATGATGGCACGCAGCTGCTGCTTAGCTGGCATTCTTTGGAAAATAAATAAAGAGGATAGAGCAGAAAAGTGCAGCAACAGAAAATCAAATGACAACGATCATAGAAACAATCATTAAACACTCCTCAGATATGCTAATTATATGTAAACAGCTAACACCATCAACATTACCTACAGAGGAACTGTAATAATTATATTTGATATTTCTTATGGTAGCGCTGAGTGCAGATAATTATAATGTGAATGAAAGTATAGACTTAAAGCTGTATTGACCTGGTGGTTAGTGTGGAGGAAAATTACACATGATCAATGGCACAGATAAAAGGACTTACTAACGTACAGAATTGGCTTGACATATTATATCTAACAAACACTGCAGGGTAACTTCCTGTTCACCGCCGCCACCTTCATCTCTCTTTGAGAACAACACAATCTATTCAGTGACGGAAACGACTCCCTGGCTTATTCTTAGGCCTATAGTCAGAGAAATGAATCCTGCACACACAGCTTATTTATGCCTTTAATTTTTTTGGTCAATCCTATTGAATAATGTAGAAGGAGCGCTGGAGTGGTTCACATTAAGAGTTAAAGTCGGACCAAACAGCTGAAGCAGGGAGTGCTTTGATCTCACAGTTCATCGCAAGCTGAACAGAGTTATTTGACTTTCAAACGTTCTCCCGACTTTGATAAAAACCACAGCGTTTCTAAAAGTTACATTATTGTTAGTTTAAAAAAAATACAGCATTTTACTGAGTGAAAACACCAGTCAGGGATGAGCATTAATATAAAAGATTTAAAAGATGTTTTTATGTCCTAGACTATGATGTCACCACTGTGTGTGACAGGTACGGCACATGGGTTCACTGTCTTAATACTTTTTTCCTCTTGTATTCACAGCAGACGTCACCCCTGACCTTCACCTGTGAAAAACATTTTAAAGATAACATGAACACAGAACGTGTCATAAAAATGGTCATAAAAATGCTGTAACTGCGTGACGAGATTGAGCAGTGATAAAACGTAGGGGGTCGAACTGATATTTCCCATCATCCACCTGACCTCTCCTGTGTTTCCCTCACCTTCATGGGCTTTTTTAGGTGAACTCTACAAACATGACTTCATGGTTGATCTATGGATTCCGGAGGCTTAAATACTGAACCACAAAAATCTATTGAACACATTTCGGACGTGTTTCAAAGACTTGTTTTCTTATGGAGCATAGCAGTGAAATAGAGTGTTGAGAAAAGCTGTGAAGCACGGAGCAAATGCAGTAAATTGAAAATCCGGTGGAACACCCTCCTAAGGACACAATGTTGGGCTAAATCATTGTGTCACTTCATTGTGTGTTGAATGTCATTGTCTGCTGTTTGTATCTGCAGGTAACAAGTCATGCTGTACAACACCGTTACCGTTCCCTCTGAATGTGTGGTCGTTGAGGGAATTTCCTCGACCTAGCAGCAGATAATTGGCGTGGCAGCTATTATCTGGAGTAGCAGCTATTGTTTACTCCCTTTCTTTTTTTTTTAACCACCTTATCAGGGGTGTGCCAGCCTGAGTAAGATTATTTGAATGGAACGTGTGAGGTAAAACCAATAGATGAGCGCCCCCTGCCAATACACCTGTGGTTCTGTTCTCACAATAAAAAGCAGTTGACATTAAGCCCTGGCTGGCTCCTTACTGTGATTCCTGAACCCTGTCACGGCTCCTAACGCCGGCTGTCACGTCCACAGTCAAGCAGCAGGAGGGTCACATTGTGAAACAACAAAAACACACGGACCAACCACTCCTTCCTCTCAACATACTGTTACAACAGGGATCATTTTAAAAAAAATCCAGGCCAAGCTTACACCAGCCCCAGGCTGAGAGATAAAAACAAAATCACAGCGAGGAACCAGAAAAACTGACATCGGCAATTAAATCAAGNGTCTTTTCTGGATGCTGTGACTCTGCTCTTCTGTGTTGCTGTGATTTTCTGAATATTGTCCTGTATACGTTCCCCGCGCTAATTATTTTCCAGATGAAAGCTTTAATATTTCCCTGCTGAATTGAGCATTCATTTAAACAGTCACGTGAAACAGCTGTAGCTGTAATAAATAGATAGAGTGAAGAATAATGAGACGCCAGGAGGCTAGAGAAGACTTAAATTAGTGGACAATATCACAGCTCTGTGTTCAAGCTTTTATTTTGAAGGCCAGTAGCTTCGCAAACACGTGGGGAGGAATTCAAACTCATCACTCCTCTTTGATTGTTTGTGTTTTCTCTTCACATCCCTAGTATGTTTGAGAAAGGTGTAGAATTGACTTTCTGTCTTTTTTTACCCAAATATTTGAGGGGTTGATGTTTTATTTCCATATTTTATTCTAACATTTCTCAGTAGGGATTTAATAATTCATGAAAAGGGTAAATTAACAATTTGAATTTGATCCATGCAGAAATGGCCTGCAGTCCAAGAATACTTAGTGATTACTGGAAGAAGTGTACCTGTAAATATCTCGAGCCATTCCAAAGTCTCCGATTTTGGCAGTACGGCCCGGTCCTTTGCAGGTGAGTAGACAGTTACGTGCTGCAATGTCCCTATGAAAAAGGGAAGACAGAGAATTATTAGGACCTGTAGTCAAGGCTGTGTTGATGAAGAAAAAATTACATCATCAGCTGGGCAGATCACTCACACAGCTGGGATGACACATGATTCATCATTAGTTCAACCACTTTTCTAGAAATCCATCTATGAGCCACAAAAAAATAAACAATACAAAACCTACTACTGCGTCTCTGAGGCTCAGTGTAATTACCCCTGTGACCCCGGCATCTTTTTTTTTTTTTTTTTAACAAAAAGTATCCAGGGAAAAGATTGAAAGGATTGATATTTGTTGCGGGGAGTGCAGGCTGTGAGAAAAAATTAGATTTACTCTATCCTGGGTCGTGAGGGAATTCAACGGTTCACACAGCGTGTGCTGCACTGTCTCTTATTCTTAGAGACTTAAGAAGGGACAGGGTATTGGTACTGCTCCTTGTCAACCTGAACACAACAAAAGAAGCAATGATTTAAAATCAGCTTAACATCAAGTGATGCTTCTCCGAGATCGGGAGACAGAGTCGGGCTGGAAATGAAATAACACATTGGTTTGATGTTTGGCCCAATACACTCCACTGATAACCTTAGAGGGCAATCCACACACACTGACGGTGAAGTGGCGTTTCCGTTTAAATCTATATAGAGCCGTTTTGGTCCCAGCTTCTGAAGAAAATAACAGACTAATGTTAGTTATTATTTAATGTCACTCACACTGTGACCTCCTAATGCTAGTTCCAAGCCCGGATATATTTATTGTATAGAAAATACAATATAAACATAGTGGAAAAATAGATTTTAAAGCATTCAGTTTGGTCAGACTGAAATGACTGGAATACAGATACTGCAACTTAGTAGTACCGTTGCTGAGGCTATAGTGTTGGGTACAGGGCTTAGGTATCAGATTGCATGGGCTATGTTTTTTTTTACCAATATTCAATCATGAAATGTTGACCAATATTGGACCGATACCAATCCCTACTAGACAAATTCTACACAATCGGCAAGTGAACACACACTCACTAAACAACGTAGCAACATCTTCACTCTGCAGCTAAATTCAATACATTAGTCCCAAGTGAATGGTTTGGAATGTGATTTTTTTTTTAAATTTTATTCAGATGAACTAAGTGCTATGCAGGAGATGAGATCAAATTCAGCTCATCTTCATGATTAACACAATGACTCTGAGCTAATGTAAAGACTGCACACTTATGGAAAAACTACCCACGCAGTAGAATCACTATTTACAGTGGGTTTTAGCTGCAGCCTAAGGATGTGTTTCCCTCCAACACTTAGAGTTAATGCCTGATAAGTCATTGAAACCTGTGGTTCCATTAAACTGTCCATGGGTCAGTGCTTCTCTTCATCTTCTGATGGTTTATACTCTGACTGCTTGTTGAATTATTGCTCTACAATACAAATACCAGGGACTTAGCATTTTAGTTACGTTTTTAATTTAAAAAATGTTGCCAACTGTGCATAATAGCATAGCATCATTAGCCTGTTTAAAATTTCACACAATTTCATAAAAAATAACATTTTAACCATTATATCAGCAATCTTCATAAAAAATAACATTTTAACCATTAGGAGATTGCTGATATAATGATAAATAGAGAATGGAAAACATAAAAATTGAAAGAAAGTAGGAAAGAAAAAAACCCTGAGCCTCTGTAAACGGATCAGCCATTAGGTGGATGGATGTAGCTCTGTCATACCAGGACAAATAAGGTTTACTGGGTTTTATCGGTCCTTTGTCAATTTCTGGGAAGCCACAGACAGACGTACAGTAAGAGCAATGCACTTTGCTTCTATGACCAGTCATGTATTATTGTATCATTTACGACCTTTTTCTGTTCCGGTGTTTTCTGTTGTCTAGCAGTATGGGGAAAGCTTTTATAGTACGGTAGACACCTTCCCTGGTTCACCAGCTGTTGTTGAAGAAGGAAATGGAGAGCAGCATTCTGTCTGTGGGACCTAAACTGTAAAACAGCAAGCTGGCTTCTCCATCTGGCAGCTGTGGCGCTGCACCCATCTCTTGTCTGTTCCACTATAATGCGAGAGGCAAAGGTCTTCAGAGTGGCAATGACACGCGTGGTCAGTCACTATATAATTCAGAGAAGTCAGCAGATAAATGTTAGTCTCTCCTTCCGTCTCACCGACGTGTTGGAGCATATAGACTACATTCTTGCATTATTCAGCTTTTTATTTTGTGTTTCAGCGAAGGTTGTCAATCGAATAAAATATTTAATCAGATTACTCACAGAGTGGACTGACGACGTGACATTTCTGTCAGTCAGCTGTAGACTTACTGTATATACTGCTATATGCAGTATTTTAAACTCCTGCAGCGTGCGCAAATAATGACGTCTGTATCAGAGGTGCAGATGGGATGTTTGAACTGGGACGACCAAGTTGTCAGCAAATTTCAACTCAACGAGCTATTTTTGTGTATTTGTAGTGTGTAACACACACACACACACACACGTGTCACAACTGGAACATTACTCCTCTGTTTTAATGCCCATGTTTGTCACCGTGCCTTCTGCCATCTGCACACATGGTCTGTATGTGTTATATCTTGCTGTGTTAATGATTATAATCAGGTTAGTCTCTAACAAGTGATGAATTATTCAACTGTTAATTCTGACAGCTGTAGTTGTTTTCCTGACGATGAAAAATATTTGGCGATCTGTCAAAGTACCTGTGTATAAATTGGTTCTCCTCCAGGTACTGGCAGCCTTTAGCTATGTCTCTGGCCACACTGAGAAGGTCCACCATGGTGAGGCTGGAGGGGTGCTCCTGATGAAAGACAACAAAGACACAAACGCCGCTGACTGACGAGCACATGCCATCATAATAAAAGAGAAACACCAGGTGTCTGACACCATGCTACAATCATCTGGGTCAGCAACAAGGCAGTTGGCATGGTTTCGTCTGAGAGGGTAGTCTTACAGGTAACACAGACAGTATTGAATCAGTATCAGTGAAGTTATTCACACAGTGGTCTCCCATCACACCCAGCTTGAGCCTTTGTTCATGGGGGTCTCTATACATCAGTCACAGTTGATCCGTCAGTGGTTTTTAACATTCACATGTGCCTGACTGTTATTATCAGTTTGTTACTGTATATACAGCAGGGATTCACACTAACATTCATGTTCCTCGGGAGGTTTACCGTGGAACATGGTCCAATTTCACATAACGGCTCTGACAACTAATACTTATTTACTGCAAATGAGTGACGGTGACAGGCAGAACAATTAAAAACTCCTCCATTAGTTGGCAGAGACTGAAATTAAATAGTTAATTTCAGTTCCTTATTCCTCCCACAATGGGGAAATTCACTGTGTGCCACACGGGATGCACAATTATGTATGTGGTTCCTCTGGGGCTCAAACCTGCTACACTACTGAACTGCTAACCTCCTCCACTAGATGGCAGAGAGGGCTATAAAAAAAGCAAAAAAAGGTTGTTTTTTTTCCTTAAATTTCTGTGAATATATCCCTGTTGTGTTCATCTAAACAGTACCAGGTTAGATTAGGGTTATATTTCATTACATGTACTTTTGTTACATTTTTGTTTGGTGGTGCATTGTGGGATTTTCCTATTATGAAATATGTGTTGTGGTTCAGAAAAGGTTGGGAAACACTGATTACTAAATGGACTCTGTTTTGTCCTTCATAATTAGTGTACCTTAACACAGGTATACACAGTTATACACACAAGACAGAGACCATAAAAACTTGCACAGTGGATTGTTGGGGGCAATCATGAATTCATTCATTTTACTAATTCAAGAATGAAAATCAAAAACCAAATCACTGTTTATACTTCTTGTGATGTATGATGTCGCATACAATTAGCTTTTCGTTGATTGCATGTGACATAATTTGTTTAATACTTTTATAATTTAAATATTTAACATGAATGAACATAGAGTATTAATAAGCACAACCAGAACATGAAGGTCTTTTTCCTATGGTGCTATAAACTGCATTTTCTAACAGTAGCCTCCCTGAGTCGTCCTGAGTCTATGACCTTCACAACAGCATGGCAGTTTCTCATGCACTTGTTGTGATCTGCTGTGGCTCAGGCTCTACAGCCAGGCCCTTCCTGCCAATTTTCATCATCATTGTTTTCTTCTGGATGAAGTGTCACTTGTAATTTGAGTCATTGACACTACATTAACCGCCCCTCCCCCAAATGAAATGCTAATGATGTATCATTCTGTCCTATCCCTAAGCTAATTTCATTTTGGCACGATTTTTGACCTTGGACCTCTGGCCAAAAAGAACAACTTTGAAAGACTATTGAATATGGTGTGTGACAGTAGGGAGGGAGATGAGACGGGAAATAGAAAACGAGAAGTATATGTTGGGAAGAAAAGACATCAGACAATAAAAGCTACAATAAGACAGACGGGTAAAAGCCACATCAGGCAGTCTGAGTCCAGAGGAACTTCAACAGACGTGTGATTGAAGGCATTTAACATTTAAGTGTTCTCTGGAGATGTGCTCTGCTTTGTTCTTTCAAATTACACATTATAGAGTTTCTGACCCATGCATTTGATGACTTTATTTCCACAAAAAGAAAGAAAAATGTGTGAAGGAAGAAACCTTAACAGAGATGGCTTAAAAGAGAGAAGAGTGAGGAGATAGAAGAATCTACAGATGGGTTTGAAAGTAAAACCTTTCTATAATATGTTATTATCACTAGAACAAAGAATAAAAATCTCCTGTCCTGCCTTGCTCTGTTCTTCAGTCGATGTCAAATACTCTAAGGAGTTGTTTTAAGTCGACCTGCTTTGTGCTTCCATTAATATTACAAGAAAAGGAAGTAGGAGACAACAGGGTGAGAGGACGAGACAGGCATACATATGAAGACAGCTTGTCCTACAAGAACTGAGGATACAAAGAGCTTTTACACACAGCAAGCATCACCTGGTGTGTGTCAAGTACAAGGCAGAAAAAATGGGGCAAAGCATCTTTAAAATCATGTGGTGTAAAATCCAGACCTGTGTACAGGTGTGGGTGTGGGTGTGTGTCAGTGTGACACACAAGCATTTAAACCAGTCAGGGTTTTACAGGAGTTACAAAAATGTCTTTTGTTATTCTGTTAGGATCAGCAGATACAAATAAAGTATATACAGTATAAATATATATGCGTGAGTGATAGCTGATGAGTGCATTTTTATTATTATGGATTTTTTTTCTTGTCTTTTCTGAAAAACCAGTATCAAAAATCAGTAACTGTAAATGTAAACAAAGTCGTCTTCTGTGTATGGCCCCACATGATGTATTTGTTTGCTCCACTTGCCAACTACTTCCTGTGCCAAATTTGTTTAAATGCCATACATTGGGATACGATTTCCCTATTAAATCAATGGGAGATGGCAATGCAGCCACAAAATGCCAGAGGTCGAGTGCATTGTAAACTGATGACCCCCCTGTAACAGTGTGTCTCTTTATCAACTGCACAGCCATCTTAACTGATCGAGGATGCGTTGTCTTGTCAAGGGACAGTACAACAAAAAGGAATCAAACCACTGACCTTCAGTTTTATTAACGACCCACTGTCTGTGCCTACTTTATAACAGCTGAACTGGGAAATCCATCAAGCCCATTGTGTCACTGGACTAACATGGGCGTCAAACAAAGATGTAGGCTTCACAGAAGTAAATCTCTTCATGACATTTTTATAGTCCACTGACCTTTGACAGGTCATAACACCTTCTCTCATTTTGTACTCGTTCACTTACATAAAACAAAGCTGCTGGAAACAAATATCACAGGGAAATGGCTTAAAGGAAGAGGTGAAGAAAGTAAGGTAGGTAATTATGTAGGAGGCACATTTGGTACGAAGGGGCTAATACAGGGCTCCAAAAATGTATGACATTAAAAAAGCCGAGCATTGACATTTCCTGAACCATTAACCAGGTGCACAGACAGGAGTTTTCCTCCATCCTACAGTGCTAATGTGAAACAGCCTTCATGTCTAGTGTTCAAGCATTCAAATGTATATACAATATAACAAAAACTCCTACTCTGACACTGCCTCCTTCAGCTGCGTCTTGTCTGCTTCTCATTAATTGAAAGAGTTTTCACTGCTTTTCACTTGTTTTTTCCAGTACCAGTCGTACTCACATTTGGATGACGCCAAATCCACTGAGTTATTATTTTTGATGTACTACCAGCCAGAATATAGGATTTACACTTCAAGAAGACAACAGGTTTTTCTTCCGCCTTATTCAATTTCCTGTCTCCACTGCTGCTGTAGTTAGCTAAAACCCCACAGTGTTTCTAAGTGGCCTAAGGGAGAACGGTTCCATTTACTATAAACTGCTGGAAGCAACTGAATCACTGGATCAAGCAGTGATTGCCTCCTGTCATTACTGAGGTCCAGGGTTGAAAAAGTTGAACATTGTTTCACTCTTCATCACCAGGATTCCAGGGCTGTCTAGAATAAATCACTAGAAAACTGAAAATGGTTGAGTTCAATTCAAAAACATGTTCTCACCAGTCTTGGTCTGGTCTCCCTCAGGAAAGTCTTGAGGTCACCACCTGCCATCAACTCCAGCAGGATGAACCTGGGCATTGCCTGCAGGCTCACACCTACACAACGCACGATGTTCTGATGGCTGAACTTGCTGTATGTACACAGACGAAGCACAGAAATGTTAAACAGAAAAGGCTGCAGGGAAGTGTGGGACACAAAAGTAGTTGACCGTGTACTGGTGTATAGAAGGAGTACCTGATGATTAGGGCCTCCATTAGAAAGTCCAGCTCATCTTGCTCAGAGCAAACCTCAGGAAGAGTCTGTTGTTAGGATATAACCACAGACATGTCCACGTTCACTTGAGATATTATGTGCATAATGTGAGCCATGACTCAGGATTATTACTTTAAAATGTTTCACTGTATCAGTGCAGTAAAACTTTACAGACTGTTTGATCGAACTCCATGATTAAACCTTTCTCAGTGCAAATTTAAACGATTACATTAAATAACCCCCTGAAGATTTAGTAGTGAATTAACCAATCTTTGTAATGCATTAAACAGAAAAGACATTTTTATGAGGAGAGGGCTGAGAATTCACCTTTACTGCCACTTGCAGTGGACTTTGTTCACCTGGTACTCCCACTGCCAGACCTTCATACACTTCACCAAAGGCCCCGTGGCCCAGTCCCCTGATGATGACGAGAAGACATGTTTCATTCATCTGCTACGTCTTCATTCCATTCACAGTAAAGGCTGTTAGACCAAACACTGTGAGAAATGTTCAAGCACAGGTTTCTGAGCTAAAGACATTAGAAGCAACTAGCAACCGGGGACTCCTTAAACTATCTGTGTTCAATGAATAACAACCGGTCGAGATGGAACAGGGTAAACAACCCAGAAGCTGTAAGTAAGTAACACAGCAGAGACTCTAGTCTGTGTTTTTACCTGAGTACTTTAATTTTGGACTTTGTCAGTCCATTGAATACTGCCAGAGAATAATGTACATGTGGAATGGTGCAGGACTGCTGAGGAAAAGTATACGTCGCAGAAATGATGTTGCAGAATAATTCATTGGTCAGCTATAAAGATGTGACGGGTGCATTAAAATAATTCAAAGAGCTGCTAAAAAATAACTTTTTTAAATGCTTGGTTCACTGCAGCTCACCTCTGCACACAAAGCCATAAGAGGTCCAGAGTGTAACATTAGGAATATTTATTGGCAGCATTTCACAAATTTGTCAGTAAAAGTGTAAAACCGATTTTCAATAAAAGTAAAATAACTTGTTTTGTTGCTTTAGAGCCGAAAAATGTGGATTAGCCAAGAATGCAATCATCCAACCACCTTACTGGTAGTTAATATGCCTGGCCACTACAGGTGTGTACTGGCAGTAATGGCAATATGATTGATATTACTATGCAGAGGCAACAATACAATATATTGTGATATAATGTTTCATAAAGGCATGACCATAAACTGGGGTTTTTAAACAACTTAATTGTAGGAAAACTGTCAAATCCATGCTCAATATCAGGTTAATGAATTGCTACAAAAGAAATAAAAGCAAAATAAAATCAACCAATTCCATGAATATTTGCTCATTTATTGTTAATAAAAAATAATGACACAGTCCCTTAGAAGATCAATACGATATTGTAAAACTAAATATTGCAATATTTTCAGATCGAGAAGTTTGTCTTCACCCACGCCATAAAAACTCTGAACTGCTCACCCCCCACATAACAGCTTACACACAAAGACATTTATTTGAGAGAAAATTGGTGATTGAAAATTGCTTTCTGGATATTAGAATTGTCTATCGCTTTCTCTTTCTATTTCTATGATTAGTATTAATGTTTGTAGAGCCAATTCTTTCTTTTGTTTTTATTGTTTTATTTCCCTGCTTTGTCACAATCCTCATTTTACTGCCACTGTCTGTTGTCTGTGTCATCTGACAAATAACATTCTATTTATATTTGAATGATCATTTTCTCCAAATATTGGCAATCGACTGGAACAAGTGGGGACAGAATGGTTGAATTGTGTCTCCACACTAATAGCTCAATAGAAGGATCACTCAAAGATTTGTACAGTGTTGTACAATGAGATCAGAGAGTATCAGTGAAGCCCTGCTAGTGAGGTTAACTCAACCTGATATTCACCTGGTGAGGGAGATGTTGCGTCTTGGCACTTCCTTCAGGTCACTCACGGAGACGGTTTTGCCGGCGAAGCAGTAGTTTGGGTTGTAGTCCGTCATGATTGTGGAGGCTCGCAGTTTACTGATCTTACACTCTGGACTCTGAAGCTCCAGCTGAATGGACTGTAGCTCTGTATGTTTACGTCTGTACACTGGAAAACAAAGAGAAGAAAAAAAACCCAGCTGTTTACAGAGGAAACATCTTTGTTTGTGTTTGACATATGTGTGTTTCTCTCTGTGTGTGTTTGTCTGTGCATGCATGTGTGAAGATGTAGAGGATTCATTTATTTAACATTCAGCTCAATATACGAGGGCTGTTAGCCACCTGTTACAAAACCGCTGGTCATTAGCATGTTTCATTCATCACTGAGGTAGTCACACTACCTGATGATGGCTCAATTAGTGCATATGGCTGGCTTCAACAGCTTTAGATTAATGGATAGCTGTAATAATTAGTCTAAAAAGATAGATAGATAGACAGACAGACAGATAGACAGACAGACAGACAGACAGACAGACAGACAGACAGACAGCAAGATAGATAGATAGATAGATAGACAGACAGACAGACAGACAGACAGACAGACAGCAAGATAGATAGATAGATAGATAGACAGACAGACAGACAGACAGACAGACAGACAGCAAGATAGATAGATAGATAGATAGACAGACAGACAGACAGACAGACAGACAGACAGACAGCAAGATAGATAGATAGATAGATAGACAGACAGATAGACAGATAGATAGATAGATAGATAGATAGATGCTACTTTGAGAAAGTCACTTGAGAAAATAAAAAACATTTACAGAATTTTGGACCAAAGCAAAAAAAACCCCACTATAAAACGTTTTATATGCAGTACTACCACATACCATTTAGCCACACCGTGGCAAAACATACTTATCATGACTCCCGACACAGCCAGCAGCAGGGCAGCGATGAGGGCTGAAGTGCCAACGGATAGACCCAGGGCCAGGTGAGAGAGAGACGGCTGTGGAGTCAGCAGAGTGACTGCTGCAAGACAAGGGGGACAACAGTGTCGTACAGTGATTATACTCCCCGCAGGAGCATTATTATTCTTGTCTCTTCTGTGATCCCCAACTTAATTAATGATGTGAAAGCAATGACACAACAGAGCTTACGGAAAAACTGCAGCAGCTTATGCATGCCAATTTCTTTTAGTGGTACAGGATGATCATTTGTCTGAGCCGAGGAGCAAGTGTGCACTCAGAGAGACCATACTGAGACTGTGACCTTCAAAGGCCCAGCACCGCAGATTTATTTCTCCACATTACTGAGACCATATTTTCAAATCAAAGATCACTTTTCATTTAGATGGCAACAGCCATGCTATTGGAGTTATAATAAAATATATTATGTAATGCATCATATATATTTAACATGTATCTACAAATATTAATGTTCCAGATATGCAGGGGTTTGTCTGCACTTTTTGTTTTTGAAGAGGACCAGTCAAGACTCCCAGGCTAAAACTTTCTTAGAACTTAACCTTAGCAGATGAGCATATTTTCCAGATTGTTTTTCACAACAGAGGAAGTAATTAAAGACAAAAAACATTTCTTTAATGAAGACAAAAAAGTAGGCGAGCGTCTTCACTTAATCACGGTACTTTTGTAGAATTATTCTCTATCCATTTGGTAAAGTCATAGCCAATTACAGCTAAATCGTTTATATCCTTGTTTCTAAAACTTCTGGTAAACTAATGTGTGGGTGAGACAGCCTGCATTACTTAGAACACAGTGCTGTGTCACTGGACGTCTGACCTGTACTGTTGATGCAGGACACTCTGTCCTGTGCCAGAATGAGGTCATCTTCACAGTAGCACACAACGCTGTCCTTAGTCTCGTGGCATTCACCGCTCTCACAGTGGCTGCAGTTCAGCACTGGACTGATGATCACTTCACCATCGCCCTCCATTGCTGTTCGAACACACGAACACACGAACACACACAGACACAGACACAGGCACACACTGATTGGTATTTGATGATTTGAGAAATAATTATTCATCTGAAAACCTCTGTATAAAACATTGGAGCAAATGATCACAAACAAATCCACTGCTGCAGCTGAGTCCCATTGTGACGTTCCATAATTGCATGCATTTTCCATTTTTCTTTTTCACGAAATGGGAAGATAGGGACAAGCTCATACTGCTACTCATACTGGTAAAATTAATGTGAATGTAGTGAGTGTTTCAAAATGATTAATCTTCTGAAGGCTGTCTGTACAGCTACACGCGCCTGCTACTCCCTCACCCTCCTGTGGCAGCCTGTATTGGCTGCAAAGACTCACACCATAAATTTCCCCACTTTGTAAAATAATGTATTGGCTGCAAAGACTCACACCATACATTTCCCCACTTTGTAAAATAAAAAAAGGACTCAATTATTATAATTTTTTTTCTCATGATCTCATAAGGAGAAATTTTATTAATCTCCTACAGAAGGACAGATACAATCTCAAGGAACTTTGACCCAGCTCCAGCAAATCTTATCAACCCTGGGGCCATTTAGTGGTCAATTCTCCACCGCTTTGAAAAAATAAAAAATAAAAAAAATAAAAAATGTAACAAACCTTCTTATGTCAGAATGTTGATCATGCTCAAATGACATACACACATATACAGCACACACATATATAACCTGTATTTATAATTATATATCGATAATTTATATATATAAATATCCATCCATCCATCTTCATCTGCTTATCCGTTACCAGGTCGTGGGGGCAGCAGTCTCCATGACCACCACCCAAATCACACTGCACCGCACCAACCCCCCCTGAACCTTCCTGTGGGTGGTGAGTCCACTGGAAGGTACCAACCACCCTAACAGGGATTGGATCTTGCCCAGGAGGTGAACCCTGGGGTTCCACACTGATGACAGAGACACTGACTCTGGGCCAAAGCGCCACTAAATATAAATATAAATTCATTTATTAATTTTTAGGAAAATGTTTGTCTACACGTCGGTAAAAATTATCTCTTGAAAAAAAAAATCCGCCATCACATTATCTATCTTGTAAACCCCCTAGTGGCAGCCTGAGCACCACACTTGAGTCCCTGGTCTAGTGCACAGTGCCTCATGGCACCTGAGGAGCCTCCACCATGTGTCTGTAGGGGCTTCAGTGTCGCTCTCTAAGCCTTCTAATGTGCCAGCCTTCAGAAACAGCCTGACTCCAGAGTTGACAGCCACCGAGGCCTAGCCTAGTGTTTGTTCCTGCCAAGAAGTACTAATCCTGTGTTTATCTGATTCACGCTGTTCAATTCTGCCAACTAGTTCTCCTCTGTGTCTTTATCCTGTGTCATCTCTCTCCAGGTGACAGGTTTGTTCTTCTACTTGTCCTCCTTCCTTCTACACCATCTACACCCTTGTGAGAATAGTGGAGGGATGCACTGTAGCTAACTGTAGCTGTGTCTTCCTGGATTAAAAAACAGACTTCAGTGATCAGTTCAAATCAAAGTCTCACAAACCTTTGTGTGAGATTTTAACAATTTCTTTCATTGCAGCCATTGTTAATGTAGTTGCGTATTTATCACCAGTGCAATTTAACTTCATCTAAACAACATCTATGGTCCAATGATTCGAACTGAAGTCATGTTTAACAGAGGTTAGTCAGGTGTATAAATCAATTATGAGAAATCCCTGCATAACATGAGATAGTCTTTCATAATTTACACATATTTTGCTGCATTGTCGACTTAGAAAAATGTAATTTACTGACTGGAAACCAAGACAAATTTAAAATATCCATACAACATAAATGGGTTATATGTCTTGTCCTGTGTTACTTCATTAATTTTGCAGATTGTGTAATAAATGTTTTGTAATTATTTTTGCATTTTAGCAACTTTCTTGACATGACTTAAATCATCATAACAGGTTGGAGTAATTCTAACATAGAATTGAATAAAAAAAGAGTTTTTCAACCTTTTAGGAGATTTTATATAAAAGCTGTACAGTAAACTCCATGGGTTCAAATTGTGTTCAGTTACAAATAACACTAACTTGTTTTGACTCTTGACTAAGCACAGCGATTGCACCCATCTGCTTTCTCTGATCATTTTGTCATCAGCTCCAGCAAATCATATTACTAACTAAAAGGTTTACAAGGAGACGTGCAATTGTCTAGTATCCAGCTGCTCACTGAATACTGATATTATGGTGACACAATGTGATATTGAATATTGTTCATATTTTCAGGACATTTCACCTTCTTATAATGGCATAATTTAGTTTGTTCAGGTGAGTACATTTTCATTTGACGAACCTCATATTTATTCTGTCAGAGAGAAGGAAGAAATTGAAATTCACTGGGAGTGTGCTGGTCTCTAGTAACCCATGGGTTCTCCTAAGGCTTACCAGAAAAAATGTGATTGCATTATAACTGGTTCATAGAGTTCCTGGTTTATATAAGATTTTTGTCAGATTACTTCAGAGGCAGTCAATATTCAGTGGAGGAACTGGGAGGAATTTAACTTTTGTTAGCTAAAAAAAGAAAACTCAACCTGATAAGAAGACACTAATGTAACTAAACCACAACAGTTTTCTGTGTTGTGGTTTAATTATGATGGATGTTATAGATGATCTTCATAAATTATACTTAATTTTCTATCCCTTAATGCAGGGCAGTTAAAATGAATCAACTGGGTATTCAACTATTACATTTGTCTTAAGCAGAAAACAATTCTTATATTCCATTAATTTGTATAATATATCATATTTTCCCATAAACCCCTCAGCAGCTAAATGGATAAAAAGAGTGTTGTGATGTGAGTGATGGTAAAATAAAATTATAATCTTTAAACTCCCAAGCCATGGAAGTCCCTGTTCATACTCAAGTATTTATAACTGTGTTTGGTATTTTCCCACATCATTAATTAGTAAACATGCACCAAAAACACCAAACCAATATATTTTTATACATTTCATTCTGTTACTGAGGTTGATCCTGAATGGCTTTCGACTCCAGAGGAAATGATGTATGGCTGATGATTAATATGCAGACTGTGGCTTCTGCAAAGGCACTGCATCACCAGACAGCATCTCTCCTTTCAAAGCTCAAAGGGAGACAGAGATCGGTGCTTTTACGTGAGCACAATAAAGTACACGTTTTTTAAGAAGCGCTCCTCTCTGTGTTGGCCATTTCTTCAATTTTCTTCAATTTTTTTAGGTAAAAATGTAATCTCAGCTGACGTGGAGATCCTCACCACAGCTCAGATCTCATATTGTTCATGTCTATGCTGTGTCTGTAGCCTGCTCTGTTCAGTCATGTGATACCTGTGTAAATCTGTTCAACATTAGGACAAAGTTCTTTCTCTTCAACCAAAATGAGAGAATTTATTGTCACTCCTAAAAGTCTAATATGACCGCTAAACTAATTCTGAATTTGTCAATTGCTTTTTGTCTCCATCATGTCAAGTGGAAACACCTCGACAGTCAGCTACAACCACCAAATGCTGCATATTTGTTAAAAAGAAAATACATTTCCTCCTTGTTACCTTTAAGTGGGGAGATAAAGAGCTCTCCTGGACCGACAAATGATGTTCCATCATCACCGTCACGTTTGGGGTTGTCATCATAAGAGGTATTACCACCTAGAAAAAATGTGGTTAAACACAAGCTCTTTACCAGTAACTCCATATCAACTAAACATCCACAAAATCAACTGATAGAGTGACACATTACTTATGAGTAAAACTTTTCCTCATTTGTGTTATCAGTGAATAATAATATTTTGTTTCTATATCCCATCCCTTCTCTGTCTAAAGTATTTCTTATTCCTGTTTTTCTTTCTTCAGTCTCACTTCTTGTGTCTCTCCGCAGGTCATGGCTTCACTGTTCTGCGCCTGCCCTTCTGTGTGAACCAGCCACAACAGGTTCTGTAGGAGAACAGCAGCAGCAACACCCTGTTGGGCTCAGACCTGCCCTCTCTGGTGTAGCACGGTAATGACTACTTTTTCTTGCTTACCTGCAGTTTGGTGTCGGATCAGTCGAACTAAAGTCAGGCGTAATAGTTGTATTTTTGAACATATATTGGAGACATAGGGAGAGACACGGAGCCACAGCTTCATGTCTCAATTTAGTGTTTGCTTTTACCTCTCAGTCTCACCTTGCTCTTTAGATAAAAAAACTTTTAACTTTTAAACTTTCTAAAGCCATTTTATCTTTGTACTGTAAAGATTGATACAATAATTGATAATAAATGGTAAAATATAAATAGATTCCCTATAATTGATAATTATTTTCTATATGTTATTCAAAATCATTACAGTTCATTGGTGATGATTTTGACCTCTTAATGTATAAGAATGTTGGAAACTATAATTTTGACAATGGTCATTAGAACCACAGATTCGTTCAATCTTAAAGCATCTTAACTGAGGGCTGAATACCTCAGGATGAGACGAACTGTTACTGCCAACAGTCGCTCATGTCCCATATTCAGATGAAAATTATCTTAAATCTCTTGGACTAACCTCTGTAGCCTCCACCGCCCCCACCAGACAAGCAGCCCCCTCCGCCTCCTCCAAAGCCTCCGCGGGTCTGCCAAAACTTCTGACATGCCTGGCCTCCCTGCCCCCCCAGCACCAGTGGTCTGCCGCCTTGACTGACAGGAGCAATATCATTCCACCCTCCACCTCCACCTGTCAACAAACACACAATTCATAGGATATGAGGAAATGCAGGTTTACAAATAAATCACTGCGTGGGGTTAGAGACAAGTAAAAAAAAGCCAGGTCTCCATGTCAGACAAGGCAGTCTTATCCAAATAAACACCTGGACCTGCTATAACAATGTATGAACATGTCCCAACTAGACTAGAGGTGGGCAAAACTTTTGACGGGATTCTAACATTTGACAGGAGGTGGGCCAGGAGCAGATAGATTGAAAGTTGGTGTGAACTAAGATAAATGACATGTAAAAGCCAAACACATATGCTTTGAGCCTGTACTGCTCCTGGTGGTGAAGTGACGGCTGATATCGTTGTCTTTGAAAACCAAACGTTTCTTGTCATATTAGACAAACAGCCGTTGATTAGACTTGAGTGAAAGAATATTTTGTCGTCCAATCCTTATTAAGGAATTGCCACTCACAGTCCACTTTTCTTTACTTTGACATGATCATTTTTACTAAAGGTTTTGAAGTTCAAAAACAAAGTAAAACAGTGGATAATACACCTCAACCCATCTAGAGCGCCATCTATGTAGGAAATGCAGGCAATGCAGGGAAAATGACAGAAGTCTAATGATATTATTATTTAATAATATAATTCGGACAAGTTCATCTGGCTGGGTTAAAAAATCCTAATGGGCTGTATCTGGCCCCCGGGCCATAGTTTGACCATGACTGATCTAAAACATTCAGTTGTAACCCACAGGAAGCTTTACCCCATAGACCTAGGGATAAATAATCATAATCTTGGCCGCGGTCCATAACACACCACCAAGAAACCAAAGTAGTATTTCACATTGTATCCAGACGTATTTTTCAAAAGTAAGGGAGCTGAATCTTTGAGTGGCCAAGCAGCAGCCAAGAAACATGACTTTGAGGGTTGAGTGTAAAGAACAAGAGTGAACAAAAATCCCAACTTAAAATGTCTTCCTGCTGTGCCTAGAACTAAGCCGCTAATGTTGGTTATCATGATTTGACCCAATGGTAAAGGAGATTAGCATGCTAAAGGATCATGGAAAAAGATCAGAGGTCTATCGGTTCAGTTTTCTCCAGAAACTCTGGATTTCTACAGTACGGCAGACCACAAACAGGCACAGCTGACAACTGACCAGCACAAAAACAGATTCAAACACAAACAGTTCAAGAGTTTGTGAATTGTACCTGCTGCATTGGACCTCCCATTGCGTCCAGGCTGACTTGGTTCATAGTCCATCTGCTCCAACTGTGTCCCTGATTGGCTACTGTAGCCTCGGCCCCCTCCACCAGCAGCGATGATTAGAGGTGTGTACACATCTCTGTCCACCTGGGTCATCATAGTTAACTGGTTTAGTTTCAAACTAGTCATTCTTACCTTTCAGAGAATACTTTTTTTTGTTTATTCTTAGATATCCAGTAAAAGGCAATAAAATGACATGGCAGTGGTCTAGCTCTACTGGGCCTGTGTTAAACTGTATTAACCTCCAGCAAGATTCTGTATCTAAAATCTCCTTTTCTCACATGTCTGGAAATAGAAACGGTAATTTTAAGTGTAGAAACAAGCCTTACAAAAAATACAAATAATAATATGTGGCCACTAAAAATCACAATTATACAAACCTAACATATTGAATATAGAAACACTATAATCAATATATTGTCTATATCTGATAGGCTGTTTGGATGAATCATTCCACGAGTTTTTACCTTAAATACATAAGTGGCCCCTCCACCTCCTCCGCCGCCCCCCTTTACTTGGGTTTTGTTCACCAGTGGGCTGCTCTGTTCCAGGCAGATCTTATTCAGGATGCTGTTGGACTGCAAAGAGGCAGAGATGTCAGTGAAGTGAAGAACCACCTCCCAGTATGTTATAGGAGCATGTGAAGGCTGTGCACGTGCAAGAATCCAGCCGCTGACAATGGTGATTAATTGAATGATTGTTCTGTGATTTATCGCAGTATGTACAGAAATGAATGAATTAATTAATTATTAATGAGTGTATTGTACAGATTTATTTCACCAAATGTTCTTTGGCAAAATTCCTCCATGATGTAAAGCTTATCACGCCTGCTTACATATCTGCCTTACATGCAGAAGGTCCTGGGTTCGAGGCCCAGAGTAGCTCCAGCGTGTTGCAGCAGTTCTGCTGTTAACACAACCATTCCTCCAGTGTGCGATCAATAAAGTTCTCTTCATTTATTTATTTATTTATTTTTTCATTTTTGCTGCTTATTGAAATTGTGTGGAATATCACAAGGCTTATCCAACATATTTAATGACATATTTTGAGTAAAGGTCAAGGTAGTACACCGACTGGGCAGATGTAAATAACCCAAGTGGTTGCCTTCAAAATAAAAGCCCTGCATTTGTATTTTGCACATTTATTACAGTATAATGTAATATGTAACATATAGTGCCGTACAGTTATGCATTTAATCAATGTACATCAATATATCATATATGTATAAAGTATATTCAGTTGCTATAAGTAAATATATAGTTAAAGTTTCCAATGAAGGTAGATAACATTAGCCTGGTCCTTCAAAAAGTAGCTGCAAAGCCAAAAAAGTGTGGACACCCTTGGTGTAGAAGGTACTGCAGTAACACATACTTAGACTTTTACTCTACAACGCCCTCACCAGGCCAGTCAAAGACTGTTACAGTTGCATTAACCACATTTTCAGGAGTAGCAGTTTCACTCGGCCAGTTCTTACATGTCTACACAGGTAATACGTATAAGTAGAACTTTCATTGTAAAATTTGATGGCAACATTTACAGTAGATGTTGTCGGTTGGATAATAAAAAGTTATGCATCTCACCTTATTACAGTGTTTTAAAAAATAATTCTTTTCACATGCCATTTACCAATGAGATCAGTGGACAATCCACTGATAATCAGTGGAGACAGCGTGTCTGTCAGTTTCCACTGTTGTACTCTGTGTCCTGGAAATTCACCCTTTTTATTTAAATGAAACTGGACATTTTGTTGGCATATGATGTTTGATTTAGTGACTTTGGCATAGTTGAGCTTTTTTGAATTGATGTGTCTGCCTCGTATGAGCGATCGGGATGAACTGCCTGGAGCCCGTCCTGCACTGAGGACATGGGCGCACGACTTTCCTTCCATCACTCTGTCTAAATCTCACATAAAAACACGCTCATAGTGGCACGTCGCACACTCGGCTTCCTCATCTGTCTGAACCCAATGTGCTCCGGGCTGGGGGGCGGGGGGTTTGGGAGGGCTCTAGTGGCTGTGATTGATGGGTAGAGTGGGTAAAAGGCAGTGCATTCAATTGTGATGGGAAACTCTTCCACACTCTCTGCCTTTCAGTTTTTCTATAATGGCAGCTTTGCGCCCTAAAGTTGAGTTTTTGTCTGGAAAAATAAGAAGATGTGTGTGTGCACGTGTGAGTGTGTATGTGTGAAAGTGAGTGACATGACTATTTGTCCAAAGAGGCTGGATATTACTTACTCAGCCACTCAGTGGAAACATTAGCAATAAGAAATAGAAAAAAATACTTTCAGAGTTGATGTATGCCACGGTCAGAACAGCAGAAGAGAAGAAAATTAAGAATTCCTTCAACAACTTCAGTCTAAACCTTAATGACATCTCAATGACTATGGTGTAGCCTTACTGGCCCCTGCAGCGAAGCCTCATAATCTGCCTTTTGAACAAAACGTGACAAGAAAACAAAAGTTACTTAATTTATTGCCTAACCCCTCTAGAGTGAAGGGGAATCTGGGGCTAATATCATCAATCTGGGCAGGACAGAATACATTACACCTCCATACAAAAAGACCAGGGATTGAACCAGCAAACCAATGATTTAACCCCTTCAATCATCTTCCATGTATAATGCCATAATATCTGTTGTAAGACGTTGGCTTCCACTTTGAAAACTGCAGCTACTTACTTTGACCTATTTAGATAAAACTAAATCAAACATCACCATCAATTCTGAATATGGGGTATAAAATCACTCATCATCATCATTCTCCATTTTGATGTGTGATTTGTACATATGTTCATTTGACTAGAAAGACTGTAGTGTCCTGATGTTTCACCTGAAAAAATAACTTTGATTTATTATCATTTAAGTGTGACTTTGAATAAGGGCATAAAGAATAAAAGAGCGTTGGCGTCCTCCTGTTTGTTTAACTTTATGTGGCCAAGTCATGTATTTATGACCACGTCCTTCCATTCATCAGCTCAATCTTAGAGCTGTTCAGAGGGAGGTGGGGCCAGTCCCTGCTGACAAAGAGGAAGGTGATGTACACTGAACAGAACCATCAATCACACTCACACTCACACTTCTGGTCTATTACCAGTGTCCAGTTCCCTACATGTTTGTGGGTTGTAGAAGGAACCCAGACAAAAACCTTCTGACATAAATGGGCAGAATGTTCCAACTCTATGCAAAAATAATTGATCAGCCGTCTCAGACATTTGGGATGTTTAAAAAAAAACAAGCATAGATGGCAGCATCATTAGCATAAATGTAGCAGAGAAGGCTTTGGTCTTAGTGTTGTGGACTGTGACAATGAGGGAACTCAATGAGGGTCAGCACAATGGACGACAGCCACCACTGGCCAAACAATACGAGTTATCTTTGGCAAGACAATGGGGAGATCATTAGAAAAGTCGATCTCACGTTTAAACAGTCATTGACTGCTATAAAATATTGCAACATCCAGTGTGGATTTCCATTAGGTGGATTGTCAGAGTCTAATTTGTCTCCAAAACAAAGTACACCTGAGAGACATTAGAGTTTTTCTTGACTTCATTCCACTGAAAGTATTTATATTTGGACAAAACTCAGCCTCTCCTCTGAACCAACCGATGGAAAACATCAACAACAGCAACACCACATTTTAAGGACACAAGGCTGCAATTCATGTTAAGATTTAATTTTCACCTGTGAGTGAGAAAATACCCAAATACAGATTGTACTCCGGTGAGGCTTATACTTTGTCATTGCTGCAGATCAGACCAGGTGTGTGTATAAGGAGGTAGTATGAATTGTTATATCGTCAACACAGAAGTCCCGCCATATATTTTCACAACAGTGAAGCACTTCCTTTTCCAGTTTATTACTACTTACAGTACCGCACTGCTGCTCTCCACGATATATGTGGAAAGCAATATATAAAAAGCAGCACTGTGGGGGTGTGGCTTATATTTGGTGCAATTTATGAGTTTAAATGCTTTATTCAACATAAGGTGCAGGTAAATACATGGTACAATACAAAACACTAGCTGAAAACTCCTGAACCTAAAGTGTTGTTATATAAACCCTTATCATTTAATATGGCCATATTTAGGTTTATTTTACTACTTTGTAATTGTGTAATTACACAGAGTGTAAGTTAGTGATGGTAATGTACTTCAATAAAGCAACGATAAAAAACACTTACACTGGGGCACGCGTCTTCTCCTTTTTGGCCCACCAGAATGTAAAGCAGCTGCCCTTTTCTTAGCAGAAAATCAGCAGAGATGTAGACACCATGTGACCTTCTCATGGCTAGCACACTACGACCCCCAGCTGCACCGTAGGCGATAATCCTGGCCAAGAAACGGAATCAGACAATCACAGAATGTCCCAAAAACCTCAAAACCAGGCACTTACTTTTAATTAAATCGAACATTTAGATGAGATTGTTTCATTTTGGGTTATTATATATTTATGGCAACAGTAAATAAACGATGGCTAACCTAGTGCAAGGATACCAAAAGTGGGTATTCATACACACCTTTAGAAAAAGATTCCTAAAATAAACCTGTTTGTTTGTTTTGGGGAGTGCTTGATTACATTTCTCTTCCGTAGTGTTGGAGCTTGGTGAGGTGAGAGAGAATGTTATCCGCTGCCCAAAAGCTACCTTAGCTGCTTGACTAATGACTTTTGGGAGATGCAGAGTGCATATTCATCTCTGTGGCCGTCTGTCAGCTTCATTTAGCAGCTCTGCCTGAAAGCCCAGGCTACATACAAAATGGTGGCATTATTATGGAGAGAAGTGTTTTTTTCAAGGTTGTGAAAGAACAGTGATTGATTCGTCTACACGTGTAAAAACTGTAAAGGTTTTGGCGAGGACTCAAATGTCTGCCTGTCTGCGTCTTTGTTGAGGATGTTGGAGAATGTTAGCTGGTAGTTTTAGTTAAATCGTAGTTTAACACCTGATGTTGTCATGAAAATCCACAAATGGAAAATGGCATTAGACACATGTGCACTGTGTCATTTATCTGTTATCACTTTAGCAAATTATTGTGGCAAGATAAAAGGTGTGAACTATTGATGAAAAAGGGAGAGAATCAACGTACATATCAAGCACTTAACGTCAGTCCTACCTGTAGCTGCCAGTTTCTGGGACCCGCCACATTTGAATTCCTTTCAGAAGACCCCGGGTTCCTACTGTCACATTAACATTGCTGTTCCTGTAGGAATTGATGCACTGACTTGGTGTTGGGCCTTCAGGTCCTGCAGCTCCACAGGTGTGAAAGATCCATTTATCTGTGTGCAAAGAAAATGCAAATACAACTTTTTTTGGGGACTAAAAAGGGACACTTTTTTTGGTGTGATGTTAAAAGATCACAGGTGACACACATTTTTCCTAATTTTCTGTGTAATCCTGAGGGTTACTTCTAATTAGTCATTTTCTCTGTGTAAAGCATACGATTAGTGTTGTCAGGTGGATGTAGTCAGACTTAACACTGCAGCAGTAAATCCTAATTTCAGGCTTGTGAGCAGTAAGGACACCAGGGGCTGAGGCAATACCCTCTCTTTTCCTCTCTCTCTCTCTGCCTGGATGTCAAGGATTTAAGACTGCAGAGCAGATCCATAAACACCGTGCGGCACCTTACATACACCATGTAGAAACAAAAAAAATGCACATTGAATCTTTCATTAACCTTCACCATTGCACGAGCTGTTCTGCCTCACTTTATATCTGCCTGAATGACAGACTGAGAAATGTGTCCATCATAAAAAGCAGAACTGCTTCTGAAATGACCTTACAAGGCTTCACCCATTTGCAGTGGCACAGATGTGGCCAGTTAAAACTTCAGGGCGGTACAATGAAGTGAATGGACGTCTACTTTTCATTCAACATACAATACTAGGCTTCATCAGAGATCTGTTGTTACGAGTGATGTAACCCAATTTGTGACCTAAGTTAGAATTCACATACTAAATGTATAGTATGTTGTTCACCGACGCTAACACAGTGGCAGTATGATAATCTAAGACATAAAATCAGAAGAGTCTGACTTGCTATAATGAAGAAGAAAAAGTTCCCAAAAAACACACAAACTAGTTGGTGAGTTTTAGCACACCACACACGTTAAGCCACATAAAACAACATAGTGGGCCAAAATTGGCTTGCAGGCCTTGAGTTTGACATGTGCTTCACAGGTTCTACCCACTCTATACATCACTCTGGGTGACCTGTATTTTTTCAAGGGCAGCCAGCGCCACCTCTGGTCCCAGACCACTCAAGAAAATATTGATGGAGTAATATATTGTTAAGTAACCTGTCATTGACACAAGTACATACGAAGCCTGGCTGAGTCTCTTCACAGCAACTGCATATTAGTGAAATGGCAGTGTCCATACCGACTTACAGAGAAATTTAAAGATACAACAATGGAAGACAAAGTTTCATTTTGCCCATACTGCTCCCCCTATCTCCAAAACAAGAGGAAAATGCCAACGTCACCACACGGCCTGTGGTTTGGTGGTGACAGGATGAGACTTGTTATTGGAGGGTTGCCAGTTTAATGATAACTGAGCAAGCGTATAAAAAGTCGACCTGCTCGTTGGACATAGTAAGATGCAGCCCACTGCTCAAGTGTGTAATGTGGGTCCTCCACAAATAGGTTAAATGTAGAGGACACGTTTTATTGTCTGTAGCAATATGTATAGTGACAAAAAGTTCACTTGTTTTATGGTCCTGAATAACTGCAATGAACAACTGCCGGCAAATGGAAGGAAAAAAAATATTTTTCACTTGACTTTGTCTTTTATTTACTTTTTACGTATACAGGGGGTCCTGGGATTACTACATGCTACATGAACTAACTGGTGAGTAAAGGTGACAAATATGTTGTCATGCGGCGTTATATGAGAAACAGGGCTTTTTTTTTTTTTTTGGATATTTCAGTTTATAAGCTCTACAATATATTGTGCTACGTTCACTTTCTTTTATTTGTGTTGTTTTTTTCTGGGAACATTTTGCCCTTCGTTCTGGCTCACAGGTGTCAGTCAGACTCTTCTGATGTTTTTATGTCCTAGATTATGATGTTACCACTGTGTAAGTGTAGGTGAGTGACATTGGTACTGATGTACAGTATGTGAGTTTAGACTTCAGGCAAAAATCGAGTTACAATGCAGCATTTGGACGGAGCATTGATGTGAGCTGGGGAGTCACTGTATTTCAACAGTTAAATTTGCTTTTTCCCTAGAGAAACTAGTGAGTATTACATATTTACGTTTTTTTAAATTAATTAACTTAAACACTTTTTTTTATCTCTGAGAAATAAAGCCTACAATTCTTACAAAATTCTCTCACTGAAGAACTGTGAATGACACCACATATCCACATTCTAAAGTTGGGAATGTGTTAAAGCCAATCAGTGCCAATTTTAATATTACCTTACTTAATGGTAGAAAAAAAATGTCATGAAGCAAATAAGCCCAGTATAAGAGTGTAAATTGTTTGACTGTTTAAATGAATGCAGTCCTTGGTATTTCTTTGTCACGTTGACATTTGACATTAATAATTTGTTGAACGTAGGTCTCGGATGTGTCTCCCAGCAGAGTCAAGAGCTGTTCAAACACTGCCTGATGATTATGAGGATCTGCTCTGTGTTGAACTTTGCCATCTCTGGAGCTTATGCTATCACCATAAAAAAAAACCCACTGGCCTCAGTCAATGACATGGACAACATTTCTCACTGTCATCTCAAGGAAATTGTTCCAGTAGAGGCAAAAAGGAGAAAAACAGAAGCTTCTCACTTTATACTGTGGTATTTCTTCAGCCTTTTTGGCTCGAGGTTAAAGCTTGGTTAAAGCACAAGGCAGAATTCCGGTTCCATGTTTGAAAATACTCACAAAATACGCATTTGTGCATTTGTTCTGATGTATCATGATTTAACAGACAATCACGTTTTTAAACAAAACATCCATGTACCTTATTATCGTTTTTACTTACTTAATTTATTCAGTTACGTTTATTTACTTCATTGAAGAGAGAGCATTATTGCCCTGCAGTCTAAAGAAAAAAAAAAAATCACACCTCGACTATCTAACCCTCACTCCTTTGCAGGGTCGCAGGGAAGCGCTGTAGCCAATCCCTGCTGTTAATGGTCGATCGTGGGATACAAACGCCTGAATAAATTCTCATGTAAACAAAGGAAGAGTGTTCAAACTCCAGACAGAGTTGACTGAGGACACGCTTGACATACTTATAGAAATTAATGTTATGCTCATGTCTGCCCCCTTTGGTGGAGTACGGTACTGTTACGTCTCATCAAAAACAGTGAGACTAAATAATTCCATAAACTTTTATTAAATATATTAGAGGGACTGTAGAAGGTCAGGGTGTAAGATTATATTGGCAATCTGTACATTTGTCTCTCTGTGATATAGGAGAGAGTGCAACGTGTTTAAACATTCAAGCGGCAAATTGACTGACTTCAATTCGTCAAATCATCAAAATGATTCTCAATCGCTCATAAAACAACCTTGTAAAAATACAATCATTTTATGTTATTACCCACATGTTGCCTGACTAAAAGAAATCAGTTCTCAGGAAGTGACGCATGAAAAACCTGCTATTGTTTATGATGTTTTCTCATTACCATTGATACTGAGCTGCTTAATTGCCTGGTTAAACTGCCGTAAATGAAGTTAATGGTCAGGTACATCAGTCACTACTGACTGCAGAGATAAAGATCTCCCTCATTAAAAGTCAATTACATTCAATTATTAGACTTAAACTGTGGTACACTTTATAAATTACCCAATAGTCTTGAGGATAATAGACAAACAATTTGGGCTGGTTGTTGATAATTCCAGAGCCGTGATTAAAAAGGTTAAAATGAGTGTAGTAAAAATTGAATAACACGTCTTTGATGGATTATATTAATGGAGTTTCCATGAAACCCAGACACACTGTACAGGAAACAAACAAGTAAAAGCCTGTGAGGAGACTTCTTAGTCTGCACAGCTTTTCACTGTCCTCTGTGACAGTTGTCCTCCTCAGGCTGTCCATTAGAAAGACTGATTATGGCTGGCACGCCGTGAATGGACTTGAATGCTAAATACAAATATAATGGAACTGACGAGTTCCATTAACTTTAATAGACTCTTTTGCCGACATCACTGATTATCAGTCTCATATCATTCTTGTTGACTAATGTTCTCCCTAAAACCCCAAATACTAACAAGTAACAAGTACCTACGGGCTCCTGTCAGACAGGGTTAGAGAGGAAGCATTGGAGCTCAGACATGGATTTCTCTGTATGGTTAATTAGTGAATGGTAAAAACGGTGAAGTGCAGAGAATGCTCAGGAACATACAGTGCTGTGCAAAAGTGTGAGGCAGGTCTTTGAAAAATGTTTACATCTCTTTTATTCAGGCTTTTTTATGGCTAAAAATGTATATATAAATGTTAAATTAATAAATAAAAACCTGAGATTTATGGAAAACCTCAAAGTCCCGGAGGTGAGGAAATAACACAAAAGTAAAGGTTTCTGATTTATACTATGGATCCAGATCCTTTAAGCCCCACCACATGGCTGGAAGTTTAACACTATTTGGCAGAATGCTCGTCCTGCTCCCTATATTTCCTTTCGCACAGTACTGTACATCAGTCCATTTACTTTAAAGAGGAAGAATTAAATACTTGTTATAAATGACTGCGTTATTTGTGACACTTGTATTGTAAACGAGATAAAATAAAAAAAACCAAAAAAGTCCTGCCGTACAGAATACATTACAATCATACAGCCAGCGTCCAAAGAAAAATAAGCCCAGTGCTGATTGCGAGGTTAGTGACGCATGGCTTTCCCATCAGGAGAGGTAATCACAGAAACAGAATCACAGAAAGGAAGTATACTCATCTCACTTAACCCCCCCCCAGACCCCCATCCCCACAGCAACTAATGACACAACAGTCAGATGTGAATGCCACATTTAAGGGTAGAAGAGAAGAAGAAAAGTGTCACTTTAGTATGTATGTACCGGGACATAAGACAAATGTTGCCAGACAGTCAGCGGTATCACATACCTGTAGCAGGGACTAGCAGCCTGGACTGATATAGTGAACAAATAAAGTAAAACCAGTTCACTTCATGCACTAGACCAGATGTTCTGACAGACACAATGAAAACCTGTCCTGGTTAGAATGGGGAAATAAACAGTTGTTGATGTTTGCTGTGGTAATCATTATTCGTGTCAGAGTGAAAAGATGTTTTTTTAATGAAAATAAGACTTGAGGAAGGAAGGGCTGTCTTTGAAATGACCAATTCATAAGCACAGTTTAATTTATTTCCCTGAATTAATTTCTATGATAATTACAAGAGTGAGGGCTGCGTGACCTCAGATCCTCATGTTTCTCTGAGGAGATTTAAGTCCCTTGGCTCTATTATAGCCACACTGACTTTTGCTTGTACCAGCACGTTAGAAAAGCCGTGGGGTTTTTTTCAGCTCTCACAGCAAAACCATGAGACCGATTGTGCCATTGGCTGCACACACTGTGGTGACATAATTAAACAGTTCCTGCTGTCAGACTAAAAAATATGCATCATTTAATTTGCTAATTTACCATCTCTGTGACTCATATTCATCTTGGACTATAATAACATAGGAGGCAGGCTGGATGAAGCACGGTCTGGTCTAATGCTACTGTGTTAAACACAGAACATATGACGTATTTAAGATTTAAGATGACAGAATTAGAAGTGAGTAGATCAGAGGGACAGGTAAGTTGAAACAGTTTGGAAAATGTGAATGAAGACGTAAAGGAGGACATGGGGATAATTGGAGTAAAAGCAGAGGAGGCAGGAGATGAGTGAGTCAGACTCTACTGATGTTTTTATGTCCTAGACTGTGATGTCACCACTGCGTTAACGTAGGTGAGTGACATAAGTGCTGATGTACAGTATGTGAGTTCCAAATTATGGCAAAAATCGAGTTACGACACACCATAGGAACGTAGTCTTTACTATATTCATATCTGATGAAGTTGATTCTGTTTTGTCAGGTGCCTGACCTCCCCTCACATACAAACACCTGTGTTGGTCTGTGGAAAGAATCTTTTGCATAAGACTGTGTTTTAAAAACGTTGCTGCTGTACTGCATGGACTGTTACACAAAATGGGCCACACATTTTTGTTAAGATCTCACAAGGATAAGGGTCCTCAACCACTACTGTTTGTGGTTTTCCAGGCATGTTTTGCTTCAGTGCTCTTGTTAGCACTTTTCAACAGCTGTTGAACAGATCGAAGTTTGAATATTAACTCTGCACTAGAGGCAGACGGAGAAAAGAACAATCTGAGCAACTATTGAAACTTCATTCAGACACAAAAAAAATCTTTTAGACTAATGTTGGAACAAAACCGCTACTAGAAAGCAGCAGAATACAGAAGGACAGAAAGGGGAAAAAAATAGATCTCATACTAGCAGCAGATTCAGAACATAAAAAACATCATTGCAGTACTTGACAACTCAGTTAATTATCCACAAATATGATATTCCTAAAATCCTCAACATTAGGTAGCTTTTTTTTTATCTGCCAAAGATCATCATTATCAGCACTGCAAATGTGTGGTGGCAAAGCCCAGAGGGGTATGTCACATGTGAGTTTGGTTGTACGGGTAAAACATAGCAAAAGAGCAGAAGACAAAAAAAAAAGTTTAAAAGATATAATAACGTGAGTTGTGATAGAATTCCTCCTGAAAGTGAACAGTCAAACTTACAGTAATCAGGCGGCTTCTTCAGAGGTTTGGACATGGTCGTACTCTTAAGCTGGTTTGTGTTGGTCAGCACAGGAGGAAATTCACCATTGGCTGAAATAGAACACACAAACGTATGGATGAAAGAAAAGATTTTGACCATTTGGTGTTTACATTTATCCTGATGATGTCACACACAAAAAACAACAGCTGGGGAATGGAGAGACATCTTTCACCGGTCTGAGAGAGAGAGAGAAAAAGAGACAGAGAGACAGAGAGAGACAGAGAGAGAGAGAGAGAGAGAGAGAAAGACACAGAGAGAGAGAGAGAGAAAGAGAGAGAGCATCCTCCACCTCCTCACTCCATCACCCAGTGAAAGTATAATCCCAATCATTGTGGTTGTTTTGAAGCAATCCATCAAAACCCTGTGCTGCACAGCTTTCCCAGGACCAAACTCATGATCCTGCCAGAACCTTGATCCCTTCCCTTCACTTCAACCTCATACCCAAAATGAAGGCAAGACAAAGGATGATTTACTGTTAAGGCTCAAGTGAGAGAAAATCTCCCCTGCAAAGATGTTGAATACGCATTTTAATAGTACAAAGGCTGGATGCGATCCTCATCTAATCAGGGGCTAACAAAATTTCCAGTTTTTACTTTTACAGTAAAATGGTAAAATCATTTAATATAACAGTTTAACGACTCATTAGGAAGTTGACATCAACACTGTATATGATGATGTTCCAACCCATATACATATGTTCCTTGTCCAAGTAGAACAGAATAAAAGATACATACATATTTTACTGTGTTTGGTAAAGCTTTGTAGTTTCTTTGTTGAAGAAAAAGAAAAAAAAATACAAAGATTTTTGCTAAAAGCTCTGCCTGGTGTTTCAGGGGTTTGATACTTCGTGGGAAAAACATCCAGTGGCTCAGTTGCTGCAACATTTTCAATGGTTGCTGTGAATAAAGCTGACAGTGCAGTGATCCACTGAGGATGTGAAGAAACATTAACTGAATAGCAACAGAATAAAACATGACAGTACACGTACACATGAGTAAAGAGCAGCAAAGAGAAATGATCAGACTGTTCTCACTCCTAACAATATTTGTATTTAGTAGGATCACTTGCCAAACCCCTTCACTTGAAAATTGTCTAATAATAACTTGACTCTTGATTGGAAGAAAGTCTAGTCCCAATGGTCATTAATGACCCCTGGTGGGACAGGTCTTTCACGCACCCTATTGAAAAAAGTTAAATTAAATATGTAAAATTTTAGGCATAAAACCAAAAGCATGCCGTGATATTATGAAATTCAGAAAGTTGGGTACATTATGTTATTCTTAGCTTTAAATTGAAAAGCATTTTTAATTTCTATTTTAATTTTGTCAAGACCAGACATTTACAAACACCCTGGGGCCACGATAAAGCCTGTTAAGTTCTGTCCTGCGCAACTTGTCCAATTGTATCATTCAACTTCTGTGATTTTGCCTTTTCCCTTTTCCCCAATAGATGAGATCTTGTCTTTTGCAACCAGACTTTGAAAAAACTGAGCTTTACCTCTCAGGGATGTTTAATAAAAAAGGGGCTGAGTCATTTCAGATGTCCGTGAAAACCAAATTCTG